TCCAGGCCGTAGCAAACGCTCAGAAAATCGAGTTTCAACAAGGCGACATCCTACTAGTCCGAACAGGCTGGCTACCGGCGTACCGTGCGCTCACCGTCGCTGAACAACTTGCTTTACCCCAACGGCAAGTGCGAGCAAGTTGTGGCGTCGAAGCAAGCGAAGAGGCGATTCGCTGGCACTGGGATCATGCGTTTGCTGCGGTGGCCTCGGATACTGTTGCGTACGAGGCCTGGCCGAGCCCAAAACCATGGGGCGTTAGCATGCATGAGGTGTTCCTGAGTGGTTGGGGCATGCCGATTGGAGAGAGTTTCGACTTGGAGAGGCTCGCTGTAAGGTGTAAAGAACTCCAGAGATGGTCTTTCATGATGGTCAGTGTACCTTTGGATATACCTGGCGGAATTGCTAGTCCGCCCTCAGCAGTGGCTATCTTGTAGTCTAGGCACCTGAAGACTTCGGTGACCATCATGTCTTGAAAGTATCGACGAACAACATGATTTCATTGCCTCATTCATTTCGCTGCCATGCCTTTTCCGTGAACAGTGGTCTTATGATAAGATCTATAACCACGCACGTATCATCTAAGTCAACCGCAGATTGATAAGAAAACTAATTGCTTGTGTCTACGCGCAACGGACTTGTGGTAATAAATAGAGCGTCTTTCGGTTAGTAATGCCAACAGACTCTTCTTGGAGATGAGAGGATGCCGTGGTTGAAATCACACTAGGCCATGTCAACCACCTTGACTTCGCCTTTGTCTATAGATCCTCTGGGCGACATTGGAGTATTCGTCGACAGGATCGGCCTTCCCCTAAGCTGTGCCCAAACAACCACATGTGTCGGCCGCGAAAACAGAATGTCCATATCCTCCAGCGAGCGACCTATGGTCAGATTGTCAGCATAAAACATGAGCGTAGAGGCATTCTTGGCGATAAGTAGAACTGACCTTTTGTCTCCAGAATGAAGAAGAATGACCAAACGCCGATAAAGATCAAGAATCCTCCAAACATGAAGAACGTCCCGTACCCGAGGTCGGTAATCATGAAAGGAGTGGCTCTCGCGACAATGAAGGAGCCCAACCACGTACACGCGGTAGACATCGCGACACAGAGCATCCTGATATCCAAGGGGAAGATCTCGGATGCGTATGTCCACGTGATTCCCTGGATAGTGGAGCAGATGATGAAGGCGTTGAGGTAAATGCAGACCATGGCAAGATAACCCCACGCATCTTGTTGAATGACACCGCTCGCTGCTTTGGCGGTCGGATTAGCAACCATGACATACCCGCCCACGTACCAGAGGGGAATGCTGCCAACGAAAGCACCCCATAGAAGTCCGCTGCGACGGCCGAGACCCTCGATGACCCATACTGCGAACAGAATCATGCCCAACATCTTTGCGATCCCGTAGATTCCGGTGCTGAATAGCTTGTTGCTGGTTCCAGTGATTCCAAGGGTCTCGAAAACTGATTTAGGGTGTCAGCCTCGGGTACGGGGACAGAGACAGATGGTTGTCCTTTAGAGTCATTACCGTAAACGCTATAGTACGTCATTATGTTGACACCTGTGTAACTTTGCAGAAACATGAGAAACGTCCCAGTGCCCACGCGGTTTCTCGTGCCAGGAGCAAGGAGTTTCTTTAGTTGTTGCTTCTTGCTGAGTCGGACGGTGCTTCGCTCCTCAACTTGTTGTCTTATTTCGCTCATCTCATTTTGGATATAGGGATGATCGGCGGGGAGGCTTCGCACGTATACCAGAACCTTTTCCGCGGCCTCGAAGTTATCACCTCGAGCCAGCCAACGGGGTGATTCTGGACAGAACATGATGCCAACGAAAAGAAGAAAGGCCGGAAGGAGCTGTAAGGCCAGCGGCACGATCCATTGCGCCTCATTCTCAACTTCGATAGTACGGCTCGTGCCGTAGTTGATCCAGAACCCGAGCATCCCGCCGCCCTGAGAGAAGATCTCAAAAATGCCCACGAGGCGTCCGCGGATACTCGGCGGTGACGTCTCAGCGATGTAGACCGGAACCGTCATGGTAGCCATGCCGATACCAAGGCCGCCGATGGCGCGGCCACCGATGACAAGTTTGAGGTCGCCGTTGGCTCCGGACATCATGGCTCCGCCTACACAGAAGATGAGAGCCGCCATCATGATGGCCTTCTTGCGACCGTACTTCTCGGCAACGGGGAAGGTGAGGAGGGCACCGAAGAAGGCGCCGACTTGAAACATGGAGGCGATGTTGGCTAAGGAGTTATTCTTTTCTTGGATGGTCATCTTGTCGATGCCAAAGTCGCGGACGAAGGAGTCGAGAGCCATTGTGCCTCCTATGACGGCCGTATCATAGCCCACTGCAGATCTCTATTGCGTCAAAAAGGGCAATGAACTGAATATTCGGGTTCTCCCAAGATCTCACTTACTGGATAAGGCCGCCATGGACGCAACGAGAGCAATGAAGTGGATTCTCCAGTTGCGAACCTCGGGGGGGTCGTTCGTCCCCTTTGCTGAAGCGAAACCCATGGTGAAGAAGGTATGTGCCTGAGATATCAACACGATTCTTTGTAAAGTCGTCTGTCGTCACGTTTGCAAGCTGATGAGCTCAGATAACCAAGACGCCCCTTTACGATGGCTGATCCATATTTATAGAGGTGGCAGATACCAAGACAGAAATCTAGACCTGGCATCCAATCGACACCAGCCAATTAACCTTGAACGAGGATCCGGGGACAGATCTGGAAGCCCCGCGGGATATCGTGCGGAGAGAGAACATGCACCTTGTGAGCTTTCCCCCCGCAGGATTCTGTTTCGCGTATGAAGAGTTCGAAGAGTGGCTGCAGTGCCATGATTCTCAACGGTATCGTGCGTGTGATGTTGGCCAAGACAAAGATACCGACGCTCATAACCGGACGAAAGGCGTTGCTTGAGGATTGGGCGGGGAACATCAGGAGTTGGGGGGGCTTGCATCTTGTGTATCTTTCGTTGAGTAGTGATTCCGAAGTGTCGATGTAGATCAAGATGCCGAAATGCTTGGCCAAGGCGGACTCTTCGGCATTGTAAAGACTTCTCGGAAAAGAAGCTATCTACGCATGAAAATAGATACGATGGAGATAATTGCAAGGAAAACTGTCACCGCGGCGATGAATGAGTGTCGGCTTGTATTTACTTGCTGCTATCTCGTCACACAATCAATGCAGTAGTGGTGTCTCCTCGCTAGCCGAAGGTCTGCCCTCTTCGTTAGCCTCTTCTTGACCTCCAACGACATCAGAAAGCCACTGCTTCAGACTCTCACGAATCTCGGTATCTCGGTATATCCATGCGATACAAATACCGGCACCCGGTCCGAGTGGGATGGTGCCAAGGACTGCGACCAAGGGGACCTTCCAGCCAGTCTCAACGAAGAGCCAATACAGGACAGTCAAGCCGATGAAGAACATGTCAATTTCAACGAATTTGACTGTAGCACGTGTCATCTCCTTCCTGTCGTCCCACTGAAACAGGCTCCAGATGAAGTAGACGTGAGAGACTGCGGAGCAAAGAATGGGGATGAGGTAGACGAGCAGAAGCGAGACCGTGTGAGACTCGAGGTGGAAGCTGCGGTGCTGGCGCTTCTGCACACGCAAGACGGCCCATCTGACGGCTTGGCGGATCAGTGACACCCAGACGGGAAAGAAGAGCCAGAAAACGATGATGACCGGGGAGTTGTAGATGAGCATCAGCAGGGAGGGCAGAATGAAGCCCCACGCGACACTGACGGGGATGGCGATAATTTCCGCATCGACAACGAGATGGCGCGAGTCCTTGCCAAAGTCGGGATCCTTGGATGCGGCGCTCTCGACGGCCTCCTGTCCGGCCCTCTTCCGAGCGAGCAGGATAGATCGCGAGCGGTGGAAAAAGGCGGGTAGGATGACAAGCTGCCAGACTACAGCTCCACCGATGAGGTTGAAAACTAGCCATGGGCCAGTGGGGTTCGCAATAACGACGTTGGGCGCGTTACAGACGCGTGCGGCCTCGATGGTGGTAACGGTCATGAGGCCTGCGATGAAGGAGAGGATGGCGGACATGCTGGCAAAGGTCCGCATGGAATCGAGCGCGCTCTGGAAGAAGCTTATGGCGAAGCAGACGGGTGGGCCGAGAACGGGAACTTTGCTGACGGCCGGCAGGCGAGCCCGGGCATCGCATTGTGAGTAGAGGAGGGCGACGTTGACATCGGAGTGGATGAAGAGCGACGCGAAGGTCGCGATGGCGAGGATGATGGGCACCACGAGCAGGGCGCGGTAGGAGAAGACGTGGATGGGCGCCGGCCAGCGCTTTGAGGAGGCCATGATAGTTCACGTCAGCACCGATGAGGGTACCAGAGTAGTCAGTATGTTCTGGATGAGTCCGTAGAGTCGCAAGATGATGCCGTCTCCTGTCTGGTTCACGACATGTTCATTCCAACTCTCACTGTCTGCGCTCAGCTCAGCTCAGCTCAGCGCACTTTGAGCTGAGGCTCGTGACAACATTGGCGCACGTGCCGCCTGCTGCCCCTCATTCTCAGTCATCTGCCAACGCCTCCCTCTGCTGCACTAAAACTGAATGAGATGTCTCTTAAGAGTGAGATGCGCATCACTGAAACCCCCGTGGATTTCACATATTTCACATAATAATCATCAATGATTGTCGCTATGAAGTAATTGGATGCTCTAGCTAAGCTCCGACGTGAAGACTCACACAGCAATCTCAATCGTCTGTAGGTCTCTCAGAGGACATTGGGAGACGGCCGCTGAAAATACAGTGTTTAGAAGACGGAACGCAACAATTACGCTGTCGTTGATGCTGTACGAGCGAATGACGCCTATTGTTTGACACAGCTGTTGCATTGTAAGGCAAGCCTTGACGCCAAGTAAAATTGTCTTATGAGATCTTGATCTCATACCCAATGTTATGTCCCAAAGCTAGGACTGAAGAAACACGTTAACAGATCTTTCCAAGCACCGGTGGTGAGACCATCATGAGAGCGGTGTCAACACAAGGTTACGGACGAGAGCTGAAATCCACCAGAAGAGGCTTCTCCGTACATGATGCCGTAAACGAAGCAATCCCCGACGAATTCCCATAAGTCCGCATTACCCCTTCTCTTTGAGACTTGACGGAGTAAGAAGGGATGGTTCCCGCCCGAAAGAATCCAAACATTGTCTTCTGGCTTCAAATTAGGCGAACCAAGGCCAAGCCGATTCTCCTGCGTGATGAAAAGAACTTGGTAACAGAGCATCCTGTCCTCCCACCACGGACCCCCGTGCCAAGACTCGTCCGTGACGCGCTCACGATTCTCGCCAAACTTGCCCTGGATAAGGTTGTTATATTGATACATGATATCGTCTGTACCGGCTTGGTCCTTGATAGCGTCTTCAAATCCCTGTCTCCAAAGGGACTGTCGCGTGTGCCTCAGGTCCATCAAGATCGTAGCCACTTTGTCAACGCGAATGCCGTCCAAAGTGAGCAATGTGAGATCTTCTACTTGCTTGACTAGTGGCTTGAATCGTGGTAGTCCACTACTGGCATGAAATTGCCTCCAGGCAATATCATGTGTCCAGAAATCGCTGGTGCAATTAGAGTCCTCCGGCTGGGCCAAATCCAGGACCCAGGTAGGCAGACCGGCCGTCTCTCTTTCCCCTCTCCAGCCAATAAGAGGCTGGAGATTATCTCGAGATCTCAGTAAACTGACCATGAGTCTTGAGAATAAGACCACAATATCGAGGACGTAATCCGTTGGCCTGATATCAGGCAAGTATGTCTTGTCGAGAAGCGCCCAGATGCCAAACAGTTGGTCTTTCGGATATGTGGACCTCCTGTCTCGGAATCGCCATAGTCTATACAGGGAGTCGGTTCTGGACTGGTTCCAGAGTCTGGCTTGAGCAATGCTGAAGACGGGTATCGTGTATGGACTTGTATGATGCCTTGGGTACATGGCGGTGCCCTCTTGGAACAGATCGACAATGTTGTTGCGTCGCGGGTGCTCATCTGGTTGCACCATGTGGCTCGCTGCGTCCATGATTGCTTGGAAGCTGATCTCGAGTGGTCCCCAGAGAACCGTGGCTTTCGGAGGCAGACAGACTTCCTGACTATCCAGATACGCTGCCACCATTCGCAGTCCATCATCGATTGTAATGCTGCCCCGGCGGTGAGACCATTGCCAGCAACGCTTGTAGCAATTGGGTACTGTCCAGGCCAACCGAGATCCTCGTCGTGCGGCTGCCCTGCGATGATGCGCAAAGCGTTCAAGGCCGCTCTTGCAGCCAGTTCCGCTGCGACGCTGCTATCCCCTTTCACTACTATGTCTCCCATCCAGACCAAACAATTCTCGCACTCGCCATAGATGCGATGCATGAGATCGATCTGATACTTCTTCTCGTCTTCGTCATTCTGGTTGATACAAAGAGCATCTGCCCAGATAACAATTGGCTCTCGATCATGGCGGATACGTCTCAAAGCTCCTGCCAGACTCTTGTTGATGTTAACTTGAACGCCGTTCACAATTACTTGAGCCTTTGCCTCACGGTTGCCCCAGACATACGACAGGGCGTTGTACGTTGGCCTGTCATCAAGTCTGATAGTGCTGCATGTACAACGAAGTTCCTCTGTCTGTCGACCTGGGAGGATCGTGAGCAGGCGAATGTGGGTTTTCGGAACGGGCAGCTTTGCGATCCAATCAGTTGGATTGCTTTGCACATTGCTGCGCTCAGTATACTTCGAATGTTTCCCATTAAATTTCGCAAGATCCGTCGTGTCTTTGCCATTGAACAAGTTTGATGTGCTTTACTACGAGGCGTGTGTTTAAGGCATGGGACAGGGCTCCCTTTGAAGCCTGAAAGACAGGCTTTTGCTCACCATCTCCAGGCAGACACGCAAGTCAGCCTCATTGGGCTGAGGAAGCTAGTATGAGTGGCTGAGCGAGCTGAACAACCGGGATCAAGGTCTAATCAAGTTGAACAGGATACTTGAGATCAATGTCTCACCAAAAATAACGTCTATCTAGCGGATATGCGAGGTCCTTACTCGCGTTTTCCGAACCTATGAACAAACCTCTTTCGGGGACTCACCTTCGATATGTTTTGCTTCTCCTCTAGATTCAAAGTCCACGATATGAACATGATTGCTCTAGCCGTCATGTAAGTCAGCAATAATTTTGCGGGTACCAAGTCGTATGTATCATCATTCAAGTTCAATAAGTAGCTTCTCTCTCCTGCAAAGATCAAACCCTCTATGCAGCTTATTTGACTCCAAGGAAAGACATACCAAGTCGTATTCTACTTCACCCTTCACTGCTTCAGATAATGCAGATTGACAGGCGTAATCGGCTGCCCTCCCCCCAACACGGCCATAATATTCCTCATACTCAACTCCTCGAACCCCTTGTGCGTCTCAACCGTCCCTCCAGCATTGTGACATGTCAACATGGCCTTCGTCCCCGCCATCTTGAGCAACCGCGGATGCGGCCTCGGCTCATCAGCATGCACATCCAACGCAACAGTCCCAATCTGCCCAGACTCCAACGCATCCGCCAAAGCCTCCTCGTCAACCAAGCTACCCCTTGCGATATTCACAAACCTCGACCCAGGCTTGATCCAAGCCAATGACTCAGCAGTGATAACCTTACCACCAGCAGGTGTGCACAGCACAACACAATCCGAGACGCGCATCAAGCTCTCCATGGTCTCGTGAAACGTCGCGCCAAACTTGGCTTCCACGGTGATTGGGTCTTTGCGGACGACGTCAAAGTAGTGTACTTTCATACCAAAACCGACGCCGAGACGCTGCGCGATCTGCTGGCCGATGTTACCCATGCCCACGAGGCCGAGGACGTGGCCGCGAAGGGTGTGCGAGGCGGCCGTGGCGCGAGCGTGGCAGTCTTGGAAGGCGGACGGGTCTGGGGCGGATGCCGTGCACCAGGGGAGATGGCGGAAGGTTGAGACGACAAGAGCGACGGCAAAGTCTGCTACTGCTTCGGCGGCGGCGAGGCCTGAGTTGCAATAGATGATGCCTTTTTGTGTTAGTATTCCCAAATCATATCTGATATGTTTCACTCAATAAAGAGCGACCTGGGAAAAGGGGGAAGGCCCACCTCGTTCACCGAGAAGTTGCGTGTCAGCCCAATCGAACCCGGCACCGGCACTCGCAAAAACCCGACAGCTCGCCGGCAGCAGCGGAATCAGCTCGGCGTCCCACGTACCCATCTCGCCGCCCGTGCCCCAGAACGGCCGGAAGATGGCGGAAAAGTCGCCCCACTTGCCGTCCCGTAATGCGGCAGCGAATGCGGGGCGCTGTCGTTCGGGCGTCGAGGGGCGGATGATGTCGCATTGCGCGGAAAAGGCGGCGTAGGTTTCCGGGTTGTACTTGATCGGGTCGCCGATGTGTAGGACGCGGAGCTTATGCGTGCCGTTTTTCGTTGCTGCTGATGCTTGCGATGCTGCCGTTTTGGGTTCTACTTGACCGCCAGGATGGGGGCGGAGGACAGGCGACGCGGAGAGAGGGGATTGAGATTGTGGTGTTGCTGGGGGCCAGGGTGTATTGTTGGGCTCGGCCATCTTGACTGAAGCTTTGGGGCTGTATTTCTAGGGTTGGTGAAGGAAGGATCTCACCCTCAAAAAGCTCTGGTTGACTGCGACGGAAACGACCTTGATAAAGTACCCAAAGGTAATGAATGGGCGGACTAGGGTAGCTCGTTAGCTGCAGGAGATAATGCAAGATTCCGATACTGGACAGGTGTAACTCGGGGTCTGATAAGGCTATCAAGGAATGGCTCTGATTTCCAGAATTGTAAACCACCAAAAGTTGCAACGTGTATAGCTTCTATTTAAACTGATGCAGGACGATGGTGGAGGATTGGTGGAATCTCATGCAAGAGTGTCGGTGTGAGGATGAGGCGAGATCAGGTACGCTTCGTGGCACGATGGGAGCTTCTCCCGATCTTGGCCGGGAATGTCGCCCCACGCTTCCGGTTCGGCTGCATCGAAGGACTACGCCTTTCTTATTCTGGGGAATTACGAGGTGAAGAGTCGTTTGGCTGGGTAGGCTTCCAGACATGTATAATTTGGTGCGCGGATTCTTCAACCGGACTGGGACCGGTGTCCTCAAGCCGGTACATCCAGACTAAAGCCAGACATGAATGAGCCGGTCCAGTAGAGTTCGAAACATTCAGTGAATGGCTTCTCAGTCTAGTGTACAAAGCTGCTCATCCGCAGGCAGCTTCGAGGCACGAGGATCGAGGTAGCTGTTGGGTCACCGAGGCTAGCCACCAACGGCTCAACCCAACCCACCTGGCTGTCAGTGTTAGACCCCGCGATTGGCGATCCTTACAGAAGTCATGCGGGAAGCAGTGGGGTGAGAATAATGAACGTTCTAGGCTGCCTCAATCGCGGGGATGAATGTCTGGGGTTAGAGTTAGCTGATGAAGGCGAATGGTCTGATTGTCTCTCCATGCTCGCCATTCACTGCTCAGGGGTCTGCAGGACACGCAACAGACATTTCTCACTTTTCGGGCGCAAATTCCCCGTCCATACAACTATGGTTCTCACTGACAATATACTGCTGATGCAAGGAAGAGTAAATAGAATACAGACATGTAACCTAACTCCAACACTAGGTGCTATAGTCTCGAAATCGATCTCATTCTCTCTAAGTATTCATTCCTCGGCGAAACGTGTGACTCTGCTTGTCTTTGTTTGTGCCTAGCATGATAAAACTATGGAGCGACACACAACAAGCACTAGATGACGAAACACTTCACAGGAATGTATCTTCTGCGATATTTAGTACGCATACGGTTACGGGGCTTCAAGAGTCACAGTGACCAGATCATGCTTTTACTTAATACTTCAATTCTTCATGTCTTTCATGGCCTGAATCTTCCTACAAATGAAAAAGCGAAATAACTTATTTGGCCTTGCCAGTGGGAATGTTGAACAGAACGACCACGTCACCCTCATCCAGACCCTTGTCCACGCGGTAGAAGCCCCGTCTCTCGAGCTGGATAATGTCGTCCTTCTTCAGCTCACCGACACCAGCATCGCACAGCGCCGTCTCCATGGTCGACGTGTTGGGGTTGAGCACCTTTTCAAGCACGTCGTCCTCCTCGAGCTTGTCCTTGTTGATGAGATAGTCAAAGTCCCAGAGCTCAGCCTTGACGAGCTTGGTGCCGGCCGTCGACAGCCACGTGACCTTCTTCTCGGTCGTCTTGAAGTCGCCCTTGAGGTTGAGCTCGACGCTGAGGTCGGTAATGGGGTCGGTGGCGCCAATCTCGCGGGCGAAGGCGTTGCCCCAGCCCATGAGGGTGAACTCCTCGTCCTTCTTGAAGCTCTTGACGTCGGCCTGGTCGAGGATGAGCTCGTTGGAGAAGACAACCTTCTTGGTGCCGACATCGGGGTTCTTGGGGTGCTTAGGCTTGTCCTCGGTGCGAGGAGTGGCGGGAGCGTCGGCACCGGTGACCTTGACCTTGACGGCATCCTTCTCCAGAATGGCGGTGTGGCGGGGGGCGATGGGGTCAATGACCTTCTTGTTGATGTTCCAGAACGACGCCCAGTCCATGTTGACGACGTTTCGGGAAGGGCCCTGCTTGATGATGAACTCGCGGAGGGCGGGGATGGTCATACCGCGTCTGCGCACACCACGGATGGTGGGCATACGAGGGTCGTCCCAGCCCCAGACGGTGCCCTGAGCGACGATCTTGGCGAGCTTTCTCTTGGAAAGGAAGGTGCGGACGAGGTTGATACGGCTGAAGTCGTGCATATAGACCTGGCGCAGCTTCAGGGTGTCGATGAACCATTGGTAAAGGGGGTTACGGTCAGTGTACTCGGTCGATCTCAGGGCGTGGGTGACGCCCTCGTGAGAGTCGACGACGGGGCAGGCGAGATCGTACATGGGGTAGATCTTCCACTTGTCACCGGTGCGGTGGTGCTTGTTCTCAACGTTGCAGCGGTAGATGACGGGATCTCTCAGGGCCTTGTTGACGTTGTCGACGGAGATCTTGGCACGGATGCAGTTATTCAGGCCCTCGGGGGTGCCCTCTTTCATGGCCTCGAAGATGCGCAGGTTCTCCTCGACGGAGCGGTTACGGCACTTGGACTCGATTCCATCGGTTCGCTCGTTTCGCATCGTCTCCTGCTCGGTGTCGTCGGCGTAGGCGTGACCCTCCTTGATCAGGCGAACGCAAGTCTCGTACAGGTAGTCGAAGTAGTCGGAAGTGTAGGAAAGGGAGTCGGGGGTGATGCCCATCATCTTCAAGTCCTCAACAATAGCATCCTGGAACTCCTCACTCTCCTTGGCGGGGTTGGTGTCGTCAAGACGCAGCAGAAGCTTGCCCTTGTAGGCCTCGTGGGCGAAGTAATCGCTGAGAAGGGCGGCCTTGGCGTGACCGATGTGAAGGTATCCTCTGTTACATGGTTAGGAGGTTGTCTATCAGGTAATGTTTTGAGGGAGGACCAACGAAGGCTCGGGAAGGAATCTGGTGACAACTCCGGCCTCGGCGTTCTGAAGAGCAAGAGAGTAGCTGGCACCCTTCTTGCTAGCGGCAACGACCTTGGCCTTGCGCTCAGCATCGACAGCGTTCGTCTCAGCTTGGATCTCGGGGTAGGTGACTTCGACAAAGGTGAACCTAGCAACGCGAGTTAGCGCCGGATGGACATTGATTGAAGCTAGGAGCACGAATCACGACGCACCAACGAGTAAGGTTGGCCATAGTTCCCTTGCGAATGAAGCCCATAGCGACCTTGTTCAGCTTCAGGGTCTGCCAGATCTTGGTTTCGGTCTCTCCCAGCGAGTACCCCTCAACAAAGGTGCGCAGCGTCAGGTGCTTGTCGAGGGCGCGGAGGTGAGGCTCGATCGACTTGAAGTCGCCGGCCAGGGCGGTGGGGAGGGTCTGGAGCTCCTCGGCCTTCATGATGGCGGTGTTTGGTCCAATTGAGGCGATGAGACTATCGGAGGGAATCGGTGGTCAGGACGGTCCTGGTGTCTCGTGAGTCAAATGTTTAAAGTGGCTGATATTTCGTGGTGGGGTTAAAAATCATGGAGGGGTAACATGACGGCGCACTCACCGAGAGCACTCGGCCGAGACGGTCTGATTGGTGGCACAGCGAGGAGCTTCTCCTGTAAGTCGTTGTGGTCTGAGGTACCTCAATGTTTAATAGCTTCGTAAGGCTCTTTCTCTCCCGTAGTCACGAAATAGTTGATGCACTTGACAGAAATTAAATGAAAATGATTGCACCTTATATAAACATCTTTCCAAGTTTCTTGAAAGCCTTTCAACTGATGGCAACTAATTATGACTCTTCATCCAAGGTAAAGCTCTGATGACAATGGTGTGTTTCGAGGCAAAGTGTACGTATCTTCACACCGGGACCGGACCGGTCGTAGATACGTACCTTTTTGGAGGTGACCGGGAGGTGTGGGCACCACAGCTCGATAAGATAGCCGATAAGATACTGACCTTGTGCCTGAACAGTTAGGCCACACCAATTTTTCTGCAGTCTTTGGCCAGAGCTTCACGCGAGACGATCCGAGGTCTGGCGTAGCAACCCCAAAAAGATCACAGATACCCAGAGCCCCGTGATGGCGTCAACGAACCAGTGCATGGCCTCAATGGCCCGGCTTAGTCTCTCAGCTTCAGCAAGACCGACAGCCTCCACGATACCACGGTTCCTCATCCCTTCCGTCGCTCAGCAGACACGATGCGCGAGTAACCAGGGGGGTAACAAGAAGACGGACAAGAAGAAGAAGAAGCTCTCCAAGGACTTCAAGACCTACAACGTCAAGAACTGCCCTCAATTCTCTCTTTGCGATGCCATGCGGTGTGTATATCCTGTGCAAAAGATGTCTTCCAATTGGTTCTTCCAACTGACCTCGACATAGCTACCTCCGCGCATTCGAAGTCGGCCGCCCTCCCCAGTCCATCAAGTACGAGATCCACGTCCACCTCAAGACGCCCAGAAATGGCGCCGTCGTCAAAAACCGCATCCGTCTCCCCAACCCCGTCAAGTCCGACATCCGCGTCGGAGTCATCTGCCCCGAAGGAAGCCCCATCGCCCAGCAGGCCCTGCAAGCCGGCGCCGTCGTCGCGGGCCAGGAGTCCGTGTTCGAGGCCATCAAGAACGACAACATTGTCTTCAACCGGCTCATTTGCCACACCGACAGCGAGGCGGCGCTCAACAAGGCCGCCCTGGGCCGCATCCTCGGCCCCAAGGGTCTCATGCCCAACCGTCGCATGAAGACAATCACCGACAACATTTCCAGCGCCATCCGTGAGACGATGGGCGCCGACAACTACCGCGAGCGTACCGGTGTCATCCGTATGGCTATCGGGCAGCTCGGTTTCACGCCCAAGATGCTGTCTGCCAACGTCAAGGCGTTTGTGGCCAGCATCAAGTCTGATCTCGCGGAGCTCGAGACGCACAAGGAGGTTCACGAGGTTGTGCTGAGCTCTTCCCAGGCTCCGGGCTTCAGCTTGAACGGAAACTTTGACTCTACAGATGAGGAGGTCACGCCGGCTCACCTCTCCAACGTCATGTAAAGATGTATAAAATCCAGATGAAAA